CTGCTGCTGAAAGCAGGTTTCTGGCCTTTGTTTACCTTCTGTATTTGAAACAATGTTGCGGTCCTCCTGGCTGAAGCCTGGCTGAAAGCAGGTTTCTGGGGTTTGGTTTAGCTTCTATATTTGTTACAATGTTTCTTAGAGTTGCAGCTCAGAGGCTGCAAGGCAGGCGGGGAAGCTTGGCTTCCTTCGTCACTGAAGCAAGCAAGTTTCCCTGTTCGCGTCAGCTGCCTGGCTGCCGGCCGCCATCTTGGTTGGCAGTTAATTTGCATATCTCCCTGATTAGCCAATGGGAAGGGTAGCGGAGGTTCGGCTAATTACCATGTTTCTCTTTTATTAGATAGGATTACTAGATGCCCGGTGCATGAAATTCGTGCACGGGGGAGGGGGGGTCTCTCAGCCCGGCCTGCCTCCCCCTCACAGTCCAGGAGCCCTCATGGGATGTCCTCAGACCCTTTTAACTCTTTTTGCAAGGTTAAAACTATTTTTTCAATATACTACTAAGAAGCTGTTTGCCATTTCAATCTTTCTTTCCTGAGTATACTATGAATTTCCAAATGCTTCATGGTAAGTGATGATGCCTTTGCTCTGCCGGTTCTTGTGTTTTTAAATTTTTCAGGTGTAATTTCTAATATGGTAAATATCAATGGGTATGTCCCACATAATTTAAAGTTCTTTGGGTTTTCAGTGGTTTTTGAGATTATTAATCCTCACCTGAGGATATTTTTCCCATTGATTTTTAGAGAGAGTGGAAGGGACGGGGAGAGACAGAGAAACATCAGTGTGAAATAGACTCATCAATTGATTGCCTCCCGCATGTGCCCCAATCAAGGCCGGGGATTGAGCCTGCAACTGAATTATGTGCCCTTGACAAGAATCAAACCTATGACCCTGCAGTCTGTGGGCCAACTGTCTACCCACTGAGCCAAACTGGCTAGGGCAAGACAAAATATTTTTTATACAAGAAGCCCTGAGACCAAAGGGGTTCTGAGACATTGAAAATGGCTGGCTTAATGGAAATTATTCTCTATTTAAGTGTATACTCTATTGACAGATTTCTTGGTGCTGGAGATCAAAAAATTAGTGGCTAACATTAAGTCATCTGCTGTCACAATTCCAAGTTTAAGTTACTTTACTACTCTCTGACTTTGGGAAAGTTATTTAAATTCTCTAAGACAAAATTTCCTCAACTATGAGATGAGGAAAATATAGTATCTGTATATAGTTTAAATTAACTGATATAACACATTAAAGCCTTAATACAGTGCTGGCATGTTTATATCAGTTAATTTATTTAGTAGGCACTCTGATAGCTTCTAACAGATGGCATTAGCAGTTACATGGATATATTTGTGAACATGGATGAATTCAACTTAGAACTGAACCCATGTGAACTTTTTAAAATGATCATCTGGGATCTCGTGTTCACAAGCATTTCATGCTAAGCAGTATTTCACGTATCCATCATATTTTATGAGAATCCTTTCTCTCTCTAAAAGATTTTGATTCTTTCCTCCCACCCATGACAATTCAAGACCTACTCTTCAGTCTGAAATTATTGTAATTATATGAAACTACTTAGCATTCATAAGTAAAAAGCTACCTGGAAAAACTATTCATCCTTAAAAAAACAAAGAAAACATAAGCACTTAATTACATGCATAAGTTCTGTGCTGATCTCTTTGGGGATCATAAAGAGGAATTAAAACATTCTTGTCGTTTAGGAATTTATGGATCTGGGTGACAATCCATTTCTCTGTCAAGAAAATTGATTGTGTGTTAGCAACTGACCTCTTAAAGGATAACAGAACCTTAACATATTGAATATTAGGTAGCTTTTTCTGATGTAGACCTGATTCGTTAACAGTGAACATTGTTCATTCATTTATTAAGTTAACATATTTATTAGTCATATACTGTGTGCTCATTAATGTGCTTGTCACTAGTGAAAAAGTACGGAGTGATATACTAGTAAACACAGATTTGGCTTTCAGGTAACAGACTGTTGACATCAAGTCAACCCACTTTTTCATAGATGTATTTAATTGAGAGACCATCGCATTCAAGGATTTGTTTAAAAAGTGTAACCTTATTTATCTAAATATTTATTTTGGTAATTTATCATAGGAGTAAATAATGAAGTATAATAAGGACTTTTTTCTCTTTTAAACTTCATATGTTACTTCTCTTTATTTTTATTTCCATTTTACTTCTCTTTGAGGTGTGACCACTCATTTATATTTAGGCCTCATCCAGAGATTTCTGGTAGCTTATGCTTTTTGTCTGATTCTGCTGGATTTGACTACTTAGAAGCTATAGGATTTGAATAGTTGAGGTTTTTTGAATATGAAAATTCTGTGGTTACTTGTTCAGCCTTGTTAGAAAAGCTAGTAACTTATCAGCCTTCTTTCTGCTAGTTATTGGGTGTTCTATGGAAAAACTGATTGCATGTTTATAATATCTAAAGCCTTTCAGCATTTTAAAGATTTAACAGCTGAAAACTCCCATCCATCATTTATTGAGCACCTGCTCTGTATGTGCCAGCCATTGTTCTGAGAATGTTCTTGTGAAAGAGCAGACACAGTCCTTGTCTTCAGAATTTGTAAGACATAGCAATCTCTAACTGAGATGATACTAATAATGGCTAGCATTTACTATGTGCCAGGCACTTTTTCAATTACTACATATATTTCCTTATTTAATGCTTAATAACAACTTGTGAATGATGATATTATTATTACCCCTAATTTACATTTAAGGAAATAGGCAAGAAAGATAATGTTGTCCCAAGTCGCATAGCTAGTGTATGGTAAAGATGGAATTCACATGTGCCAGTCTGGCTTCAAAAATTCCACATTTATCCACTACACTGTACTGTGCAATTATAACAGATAATTATGGTATAATTTAAATGGATAATTAGGTAATTTCAATAAGTGTGAGCAATGATATGATGGAAATACTTGCTGCTGTGGGAGCTCAGAATGATTTCACCCAATTTGGTCCTGTACTAGGGTCAGGAAAAGCTTTTCTGAGAAAGTAAATCTTTATTGAAAGAGCCTTTTCCACCACACATACACTTTTTAACTACTGAAAATAATTGGAAAGAATATTTTAAAATGGGCAGTGGTTTTCATATAAAGAAATCGCAACATAGGTTAGAAAAACCATGAGTCTGTTCTCAACTTGGAAGGTTCTCTGGTGATTACACCTTATTTACTGTTTGGGTGGAATAACGTTTTTAAATTAGCTATTTAAAAAATTAACCAAAGGAAAAAGTTTTTGTATTTTTGAGGAGACAAACCAGAGGAGAATACTATTATTTAAAAAGACCAGGGTGCTTTTGTTTGGTTTTGATAGAACAAAAGATTTGATTGATTATGTGCAGTTTAAATTAGTTTAAAAATGATAGCAGCTTTGATTGATTACTTCAAGTCTGTTGTCATATTGTAGCAGGGATTGACGTTTCTAAATTTTGTACCAGGAAATGAGCATAGAGAAAATTATGAAATGCATTATGTAGAATACATTTTATAATATCAAAGCTTTTATGAACTACTGTGTATTCATAGGTGTTTAATATTTGCAAATTAAGTTGTAATTTAGACAGATTTAAAGTTAAAATTGAACAGTTTTGTGATCTATGTATCAACTGATTTTATAAGTTATTAATCTTTTGAGTGCTGTCCATTTTTATTGTAAGACAGGAACAGTAATTTTTAGGGTGTATTTGGAAATATTTTTGTGGTTAGTAGCATACTATGGCTAAAAAGCTACTATGATAGATGGTTCTGGTAGTATTGCCCTATCCTTCATAATGTAGTGTTTATCATCTTTCATGTATAAAAATCTCATTTTCATTAACGGTTATTTTCATGGTAAAACCATTGTACAGAATTCAAGATCTTAATTAAGAGCCCCAGGAGGTCAGGTTTGACTACTTTTATTAGCACAGTCACGCTCTATCAATTTAAAATATGCACCATAACAGCTCTGTATTTAATGATTTCACTGGTTTAATTCCTTTATATTCTAAAATTGAAATAGCATCCATTTCATTGATCAGTACAGCTGACTGATCTACTTAGGCTCCATTGTAACATTGCTTGCTTGGTTTTTGTTCCTTTCTCCTCACTCCAACTCCTTCCTCAGGTCAGTCGCCTTCCCTTTGTTTTCTCCAGCCCTTTGATAATCTAACTGGTCACTGCATTATTCTGCTTCATTCCATGCTGTTCTGTCAGCTCCATATTGCAGTATGTTATGGCATTCTTTTGTCTTTTCTGCTTACGGCATCTATGCTCTCATTGCCTAACTCTGTGTGATACTTAAAGAGTTGGCTGTTTAAGCTGTTTGGCAAATAGTTTACTTACCCAGCAGACTTAATTCTGCTCTCTTTGGAAAAGAATTGGTTTTGATATGTCTGACTTTAAAAGAAACAGAATGATAGTGTTTTCTTTATTTGAATATAGAACATAGGCATTATATATAACTTTTCTCTTTTTGGAATGTTTTCTATTTGAAACTTAATAAAACTTAATATGAAAAAAAGAGTTGGTTATTTAAACGGTGGGTCAATTAACACGCATTCTTTTTCTCATTAAAGCTGGGGCACATGGATGAGTATATATCTACATATATAAAAATATTTTGTTACTCTAATTGCTTTAGATTTTTTTGTTAACTATGGTCTTTCTTCCTAATTTATACTTAACCTAGAAACTTCTGGTGTTTTAATATGGTTCAGGGTGGTATGCGGGGTGTAACTTATCACCTTTCTAGACTTGGGCTTCTCTTCTCTCTCTATGAAAGATCTTTATTTCCGATTGTCCAGGTTCTTGCTATTAAAAATGTGGTCTGTGAACTGGTAGTATCAACATCACCTGTGTATTAAAAATGGCCTACTCAAGACCTTATACTTTTTTTTCTTTATCCTCACCAGAGGATATGTTTTTATTGATTTGAGAGAGAGAGAGAGTGAGAGAGAGGGAGAGAAACATAGATCAGATGCCTCCCATAGGCACCCCAACCAGTGATGGAACCCACAACCTAAGTATGTGCCCTGACAGGTAATTGAATCTGCAGCCTTTTTGATGCATGGGACAACGCTCCAACCAACTGAACAGCCCAGCCAGAGCAAGACCTTATACTTCTTAATCTGCATTTTAACAAGATCTCTAGTTAATTGATATGAACATTGAAGTTGGCAAAGCACTATTCTAGGTACCATCCAGCTAGTTTACACATTAACGTATTCTTGAACGTGTGATCTTATTTAAATGTTTGTAAATTATTTTGTAACTATTCATCTTGGTTCACCAAAAGTTATATCCTGGATGGGTATCATTGCTACTACTATGTGAAAGAAATAACAAAATTAATCTTAAACAGTGTCCAGGTCTTATAAGTGAGGATTGGGTATATATTAGATCTAAAACTATAACAAACATTTATTAGTTTGGTTTCTTTGTCCTTCCTCCATCATCAGATTGTATCTGTGGATGAAGAACTATTTTGTTGTTCTTCTTGGGCTGTTGCTTTTCAAGAAAATTGTATGGACAAAGATGAACATTTCAAGAACAAATATTCAAACTTCTATTTAATGTTTACCTTAAATGAGCAAAATTATATCTTACAAAATTTTATGTTGTTTAATAGTATATGTTTATTATTTATGAAGAAATATTGAGGATCCATATTGAAATCTTGCTTTTACATGATGAAAAAAGTTCATAGACTCCCATGTAGTGCAATATGATAATTCCATAAAATTTCAAAAATTTCTATGGGATTTTAAGTAGACTGGGAAATAATCTTGTAGTAATTCTCGGCTGTGCCCTGCATTGTGTGAGTGCATATGGGTAGGGACAATATTTACTATTATTTT